ACGATTTATTTAAGATCCTAAAACGTTACGAGTTTTAGGTTCTGAAAACGGTCCGTTTACGGCACGTTAACTTACCGTTAACGACCAGTTAACGGGCCGTTAACGGTGCCGTTTTCTTGGACCTGGGAATATTTAAAATTTCGAACACTTTGTTGAAGAGGAGCTGTATTCTTCCTAGTTGGATGGGCGATCTGTTCCAACATTTGAGATGTTCTTTATGACACCATAACTGATGTTCATTTCAGTATTGTGTATCGGACAAACCTGCGGTGATGCCGTTTGATCCGGCTCGCGCAGCTGTTCAACCATATCCAATAACGGCATTTCAGCCTATTTATTTTCTTGCCGAAAGTTTCAAAGATGCCAAAGGGAAAATAAGGTAAATTGTTTTTCGAATACTTAATCCCTAGTAGTTTTTGAAAAATATATCTGTTGTAGACAATACGCCACGGAAATTCCACGACCATTTAGTGTTCATTATAATTCTTATACAGAGTCAATTGAAGTCATCAATAATAAAGAACAAATCGTCAATATGTTTCGTATGCTTCGAGGTGCGTTTAACATTAATCAGCATGAGCATAGCACCAGTGATTCGTTGTTATTCATATTTTTATTTAGGTGAAATGGATATTTTATATGATGCATTAAAAAAGTTGGGGGTGCCTAATGATCCGACAGATGAAACGTCGTCGTGAGAAAATGAATGATACACGTGCTCATTATACAGTTTTTTATTTTCGTAATTTGGTGTTTTTCGGTCTTTGCTGTCTGCGCTCGGCAATTATTTTTTTTGCTTCATTCCATATGATCGAAATGGTGTGTGTTCGCCTGAATTTTCTCGGTTAATTTTACCTGTAAACTTGTTTGAATATTTTCTTGTACAAAGAGAACTTTTACTAAGTAAAAGACTAACTGTTTATAGACGAAAAAAAAGCGATCGTTTGTTCTCACTGGAATTCTTTTCGTTCTCACCTTCGTTGTTACGAGAAGAGAAAATAGGTGAATAGGTTACAGTGTAATTTTTACGTGCGCTCTCTTCAGAAAATAATGCTATTTGGTGAATTGAGGCCAATCAGGAAAAAGTGAAGCTAGGCTATGTTAGTTGTCTTTGTCTTTTCGGTAAAAAAATAGTTTCGGCGTGACCACGTAACTCTGCTACCGTAGTAAAATTCCGTGACGAAATTGTGACGTTTTATTCGTTTCCTAGTTTTTAATGAAATAACTGTCGGAGCTGTGCAACATATACAACAGTTGAACAAAATTTTCTGAATCAAATGAAATGTGTCCGGGTTCTGTGTCATCTATTGTTTACAAAATACTAAACGCTACTATTTTTAAACAAAGTTAGAAAAGAGTATACCGTATTTTCTTTGTATTTTGTAAACAAAGGATGACACAGAACCCGGACACATTTCATTTGATTCAGAAAATTTTGTTCAACTGTTGTATATGTTGCACAGCTCCGACAGTTGTTTCATTAAAAAACTAGGAAACGAATAAAACGTCACAATTTCGTCACGGAATTTCACTACAGTAGCAGAGTTATGTGGCCAAGCTGTTTGGAGAATTTTGACATTTATTGATTACGAGGAGTAATTTGATTTTTGATTATTTTCGAAAATCTATCAAATTTCTTACTCTAATCACATTAGAAATCATCAATTACTTCTAATTGAAAGCAATCTTGGAACAGTCGAAATTAATATGAGTAAACAGAACCTTTTTTCTGGCTTATGGTTACCATATCCAACTGTGAATAATATTGTTATTTTGACTCTTTTTTATCGGCGAGTTTAATCAACAAACAATAATGTCTACAACTCAAGAAAACTTCAGGATATATACTTCGAAGTATTCTCTACAAATTGGGAACGTTAGACGAAAATCTAAATGGGGGACCCCCTTAATGTACAACAGTCTCCTGTGTGAAATAAAAAACATTTTCTGCATCGTTTTTTTCATCTATAAACTTTGTAAGAAAAGAAAGTTTTTTATTTTCATTAATTTGTTCTTTAATATATTGATAGGACGTTCGATGGATAGAATCAGAATGTTTAATAAGTTTTGCTTTTCTTTAACTGATAAGCGAATGACTTACATAAAAGTGTCGATTTTGACTAGAAAAATAAATTGTTAATTTGCGTAACAATGGTTACATCAAATGATTATATTTTGGAAAAATTTTTGAAGTTAGTAGGAAAATCTTTTTGTTGTTCTCTACAAATTCCAAAAAAATCATTTGATAATCTAGCTTTGAGTTTCTGAAGTATGCAGAAATACTCTAAGGGACTATTTTTATAGACTATTAGATAGAACAAAAGAAAGTTATTAGAGATGTTACAACTATTCTTGATCAAGATTAAAGTGTCTTTTTTCTTTGATTTCGTTCGTAGCTTAGGTACGGGTACAATTTCTATCTCAATATTTTCGCTCTTCACAAATTAAAGTTGATGACTTCTGTTTTATGGATATATTTAAGCTTAGAGTTCACGCTGACTGCTTATCCACTCGTAGGATTTGCCGACAGTCAATCTTCCCTCAACTACGCGGTACAAACATAACTTTTAGCTTCTGAATTAAATTTCTTTCTTGTAGACATTACAGATGACAATATATTATTGTCATCGTCACACTCTGCATAATCATTTCAGTCTTAGCTATAATGTGAAGAAAAGAGAATTGTGAGGCAAAGCAGTGATCCCTTTCCCATGTCGAATTCACGCGATCGTATTCTTTTAATTCTGATGATTTCAGGAGATCGGAATCTAGATCGATTCTAGATCGATTATCGTTTCGGGAAGAGAGAAGGAGCCACTGATAGCTTTAAACTTCTCCGGGTAAAAGTGAACCTTTTGATGCCAAACGATGTTAACAATCGTACTAAGGAAATTTTGTTTCACAATCACTTTTTTTGTTACATAAAAGCTCAAGACCTGAAAACTTGAACTGACTGCTTGTACTTGAACTGATTGATTATAAGGAACATTTTAGTTTACGTTCTACATCATTTGTTTCATAACTACAATCTCTGAGTTATTGGCGATTCTAAATACACCAAATTTGGCTAGGATATGTTTTTCTTGCCTTATATTAATGGATAAACTGTTAGTTTATGGCACCCTGCCGTTATACTATGTTACTACTATATCATTGTTCGCTCAAATTGATAGATAAAACTGGCTTCGCTTAGAATAATAGAATATATGGTTAATTTTCGCTTGCTGCAGTATGTATTTTATTTTAATTGCGATAATACCGAATTTTTCTGGTATAGGTGGCCTTCTAAACTGTCTTTAAAGGCTTTTTTCCGCTGCCTTTATTTTTATCTTTATTTTTAGAAAGATACAAAGTTCACTTCTGTAGGAAACTTCTTGGGCTAAATATACACATTTAGGTATTTCTTACAGTGTGTGGTGACAGATGTGGACAGTGCGGGAGGATACATCGACATTACCGCAACAACAGATCCGTCGCGACTATTCCACAAATTTTTCAAAATAGATTTTGAAGAAACTAGACTTGAAAAAACTAACGAAACAACTGGTGTTACTGGTGAATGTACTCGTTATTAGAATTTTATCTTCAACTCTTATCAAATATTTTTTTTATAACTACTGAATTGCGATTGCTCCTATAGCTTACTTTATAGAGAAGCGTTTGCTCTACAAACCTCGGTTGTGAGAAAAAGTTAATATGTTATACTCTTCGTACAATTTAGGTTTTGCGAAGAGAGGATGAAAAAGGCGGGTTTAAACGGATAATTCACTACCTGTGATATTTAGGATATATTAAGGATATTTTATGTACTGTTCTTCGTTCCACCACTTTCGATGAACAACTATATGACTACTACTGAATTGAAAATCGTGCACAGTATATACACTTTTCTACTGTGTTAGAAACACATAAGGTTATATTAGACTGCAAAAAAGAAAACAAACAAGAAAGGCAAAACCGCAACATCTCTCCTACATAGAGAAAAAAGATTATGTGCACAACGAGAAGGGAGTGTCACAGTGTGGTGCATGACAACATGACACACTGTTCGAATAACTAATAGCAGCAGAATGCACTTGTTGTCGGATTGTCCTTACTTTGTTTTCGTGAAAGGATGTGGAAATAGACTGATTTTCTAAACTTTTAATTTTCATTATCAGATTTTCCATCCAATGAGAAATGATTACCCCGCACCTAGCACATTTAAACTGACCTTCACATTCATTTCTATGATTATTGGTGAACACACCTAAACATACTCGGCATTTTGAATGATGACTATTACAATTTAATGATGTATGCCCTAATATATAACATTCTGAACAATAAGTGAGTTTATTAGAGGGTAAATATGGAGTGACAGGTAGTAGACGATTAACCACTGCTAATTTTCCTAAATTTAATATTTCATAATACACCTCCAAATCCTTAACGTTAAACCGATAGTCTGTTGTTGTCCTGTCATATGCACGTACGATTGGAATACAATCTTGAGCACTGGTAATTGATTTCTTAATTTCATTAAATACGAAATCAACTGGAAAATTTTTCGGCACATACCGTATTAGTAATGAAAAATGAGCAGCTATTGATTTTGGTTTAATCACTTTAATATTTTTATTTAAAATTGATAATGACCATTTGTTTGTCATACATAAATCATGAAGATCATTTTTATTGTTTACTCCTATTTTGAGTTGTTTACCCGCAGCTGACCATTGACAATTTATTTATATTAACACTATTATTAATGAAATGTTTGTAAATTTCACTTCCTGCTATAACTGCTGAAGGTAATTCACGAGCCGGTAAACTATTATCAAATTGAACATTAAAGCATGGCAGGTTATGCGTTACCGCTCTTTTTAGCTGTTCAAATGGAATTGAATAACCTTTATTTATGTTGAGTGGTGGTTTCTGAGGAGGACGATATGACTGATTTTAATATGTGTGTAGCAATTGGTTTTCAAACAGTGCCCGACGATTATTATCCGATCCTTCATAGAACTGGCATAATTTTGTCCCTTTAGCTATTATTATCCTTAAATCTCGACTTTTTCTGTTAACTAGATTAAAATGATTGATCATTGTCAAATTCTCTTTCATTTCTTTTCGTATTTAGGGTGGAAGTCCTGTGCTGTTCTATTTCAATTACTGGAGAATTTTGGACATTAAAACATTGTTGCGTTCCATTATATAAAACATTTTTTGAATGGGTTAGTACTAGATCCGTATACTGTGCCTGTTGTACGTTTTCGTTATCATACGAATCATCCGAACATAATTATAATTATAATTATAGCTGTGATGTAAATCCTGACTATTTCCATTTTTATTAACCACACCATTTCTTTGTCTATACCGGTTGTAAAGATGAATCATTTCTTTCATATACACCCTTCACTGCGTAAGTGAAGCAGCGTGTTTTTTTTGTAAGTACACTGATTCTAGTGTCAATAAACCGTGAAGAATGAGAAGGCGACGAAGCAATCTCATTTCGCTGCTCGAACCAAGTGAGAGCAAGGATTTATTTGTTGAGTAGCAGGTAAGTGTAGTTTGACTGAATTATTGACTGTGTTATTACCTTCTGATTACTATTACCGTTTGTACATTACTTAAGTTAGAAAACATATGTGAAAAATATTCTAAGCAAAATGCAGAAAACAAAACTACGTAGATGCTACGTCATGTAAGTAAA